AGTAGGAACGGAAGTTAGAGTGACCATGGCTCAACACATGGACAAGGCTCAACATTACATGGACTTGATGGCTCGGACCTACCCCACGTTGGCCCGAAGGCGACAGACGGTCGTGGATCTAACATATCAACGGCAGATCCGGGATTATGAGAACCGACATGCATCGGCGGGCCCACTACCCTGCTATGAAATCGGGGATCCGGTGCAGGTACAGAAATCCGCACGCTCCTCCAAGATCCATCCTCGCTACACTTGCATTTACGAGGTGACGAAAGTTGGCACACAAGGCCAACACTCCGTGATGCTTGTTCCAAGACATAGCACGCAGGCCAGGTCTCTAACTCGCCGTGCTGCTGCCCTCCCCTCATTTTGGCCATTGTTGGGACACGAGCARACCTTTGCCTCGGCTACGCCATCCTCTTCTAATCCTTCTTCCTCTTCTGCTTCTTCTCGTCCGTCTTCCTCCTGCCTCTCCCCTGAAGTTCAGGTCACACGGTATGAGCCATTGTCAGCAGAAGCATGAGCTGGTTGCGCACTTCCAAGCGCCAATCGCGGAACACCTGCTCTGACAATTATCAACAACTGCGATATGATGTCCACCAAATAAACATATTGGGGCCAAGCGTTGCGGATCTCGCCACATATTCGCTCATGTGCGAACGGGTGACGTATGTGGGGGTGTGCATAGACGTCACACACCTGCCAGGGGGGAATTGACGAGAGTGTTTATTGAATTTTGCACGCTTCGGGTGGCTGCCAACTTTGCGCACATCGTCGCCACATTCATCGGCGATTTGACGCTCCTGGAGGAGTGGATACGGGAACCAGTAGAAAGTTTCTCCAGAAATATGTTGTTCAGGCGGCTCRATCAGTGGCGCGGGTACATGGACGCGCAGGCCGTCGCTTCACGGCCTACGATTTGTTGCTTCGACAGGGGCCCAGTGGGCAACTGGCTCTGGTGCCTCACCTACCCGCACTCCTCCCCCCCGCTGACTGTCTAAACATCCAAGCATTCCCCCCTCTATACTAAATGCCTCCCTAAGGCTTCTTCTCCTACACCACCCTTCCTTATCAACTAACGGAGAGTGACCGAGAGTCCCTACCGTATGCGTAACTTCTCGGAGTACTTGGTGGAGTTGACGGGCGTAGAGTCATTACCGTTCGCACACGAAAACGCGTGGGAGTTGCATCGGGCGCTGTACCAATCTGTAGTGCTGGGCATGCTCTGATTTTACGTCAACCATGAGGAGCACAACGTCGGTGACCACTTGCTGGTGTACTACATGATTTCGAAGCCCAAGCCGGAGCTGAAGCAAGGGACGGTGGTGTTATACCCATTCGAAAGATCGGAACGGAGAAGCCGGGACAGTTCGAGCTCATCCATATTGAGCTATTGTCCATTGCGTAGGTGATCACCATTGAGGAAGCCGACCTCCAACCCGGGTTGTAGACGACGTCGGCTCCGAGGAGAACGTACCACTCTGTTGTATGCATGTTGTGGTGCAAGGGTCTATGGATGCTGAATGTCTCATTGTCCAAGGTAGATGAATGAGTAGACGTGTGGGCGGCTACAGGCGCAATTCTGAGGAACGCGGGGTTTCCACCGTCTACATGGATGCATGAGTGCGTTGTATCTCCCTCCCTTCCCCGACCCCTTACTGATCCAGGCGCCGCCGCGGCCGCGTGTAGGTGCAGGGATCACTGCTAACCCCTTCCTCTCCACTGTGCGCACAGAGGATCCGGATGAATTGGGCGGGTGTCGCCCCACGTCTCACCTCGACGACTGGGGATGCCAGTCGCCCGCGTTTCAGTGATGCAACTGATATCTCTGTGACCCGTTTGTGGTCCCACTCATTCCTAATTACTAAACGGTGATCACGACGACGGATCTCTGCACCCGCACGTGGACTCACGCCGAGAGAGAGAGAGAGATAAGGGTAAGGCGGGTGCCATTGATCTGTGTATGGAGTCAGCGTGCGTCTCGACAAACATGAGCGCGGGCCATTGCCTGTGCTCGACCTTTATATCGGCTCTTTACAACGCGCCACCATCATTTCCGATTGCAGACAACGATAACATGTACTGCGATGAGGACGTACGGAACACTCTGCGACAAACCGAGCAGATTCACCTGTATAACCCCGCTAGGGCCTGCCACAGAGGAGGGAGTGGGTTCGTGTTGATTGACCGGTTCTCTTCCCCTTCCCTAATCCTGCCGTAAACTGATCTAACAGTGCTACCCTGGTCTGCGGCTTAGGCCACGTGGCGACCTCAGTTGAAACTGCCGCTGGTGTCTCCAGGGAGATTCGTGTTCCTGGCGGAGATCAGTCCGGGGATACGAATGTGCGGCTCCATTCCCTGAACTATCCCGCAACGCGGGTGTGCTTCCGTCTAACTTTCGGACCTGGGTTCCCCCGGCCCAGCCTGCACTAAGCAACAACTGCAACAATGTACAAGGACGCCCATGTGGACTCGGGTCTGACACCGAATGAGCCTGAGCCTAGCACGGAAGGAGCGGTGAGTTCCGCTTCCCCCGACCCCTTTTCCTTTTTTCGTCGATCCTCTGCTCACTCGTCTTGGGCTCGACCGGTGGTGTCGGCTCTATTCCTGCCGCCTCCATCTCAGCCGGCCTCGCGTGTATCTCATCCAGACGGACCCGCACTCGGGCGGACTTCTCTTCGCGGGTCTCTCTTGGGGTTTTTTCTCACTCGCGGCCCAAGGCCTTCCGGAGTCGACGCCTCAGGCCCCATCCCCTCGCTCGTGCATGGCACTGCTGGCGGTAGTTCCGCTGGAACAGGCTGCTCAATAGCTAACTCTTGGTCGCGTGCGTGGCCGATGGCAAGTCAAGGGGTACCTCCACCCTCGCTCTCTCATACGCTCCCTGACCCTCCGCCTCTGCCTCCTGCTCAGGCATAGTGGTGGCCTCAGGGGGAGACTTCGGAATCTCCTCACTGCCTGGCTCAGGAATCCCCTCTGGCCATGAGTGTTGTGCTGGCTCAGGAACTGGGGAGCGTGGCTGGGTATCGTCTCAGACCGTGATCACTACCCCGCCCTGAGGCCGTACCGGATCCGGCTGCTCGGTTGCCATCTCAGGATCCTGCGGCTCCTCTCGGTCTCACATCTCCGTCTCTGTCTCGGGGTCCAAAGGCTCCTCCAATGGCACATAGCACGTCGGCTCAACTGAGACCTCCCCCAATCGTGAGGCCTCCCATCGAGATACATGAAGATGAGTCGCTAAGCTCCGGAATGGCGTCTCTCTTGGTATATCTTGTTCCTGTGTTGATGGTAACGGTGAGGGCTGTCTTAGCTCCTCGCTCGTAATCTGCCGAAACTCAACCGCCCGGAGGCCACAAGCAGGGAACGAATCCTCGGCCAATGCGGGCCCTGCGGGCTCACCCTCCCGCTGTGCTCGGGCCCTCCTCCTCTCTCTGGCCAGCCCCACCTCTCTTGGCGTCGGCTCCCTTGGCCTCTTCCTTCGTCGTCGCCTCTCGACCCTGGGCTCGTGCCTCTCACGCTGTGGCCGTCCGAACGCCCTCATGAGCTGGGCCTGACAGTCCTCCCAGTCTCGAGCCCTCTCCCGAATCTGTTTGGCCACCGGCCTCTCTGCTCGCCTCGTCCAGATAAGTAGGGCCTGCACCCATTCCTCCCGCGCAATCCTCTGACTCAACATGTAGTGCTCATATGCGGGAATGAACTTCTCCGCGTTCCCCTCTTCCAATTGAATGGGCATGCCATCGCGCCCTCTAGGGGAAGCTCTCAACCTCTGCATTCCGGCCTCCACATCCGGCCAAGTCAGGGCCTCCTCACATATCTGAGCGACACGCTCCTCGAACCGCCTTATACCTCTCAAGTGGTAAATCCTCTCCGCCACTGACCACCCTCTCTGTGCCGCATGATCCCGATATACGTCCAGGAAAAACTCTATGTTATCGTCGTCAAACTCAGGCGTAGGCTCCCTCCTAGGCGGCCCATGCTGCTCGCCCCCTCCCGCTATCCTCTGGAGCCCCTGGCGTGGCTGTGTGTCCCTCTCACCCCTCTGCATGGCTGCCTTCGAAAAGTCAGACCTATTCCCTGGCCACGAACTTCTTCAGCCTTGTCCCTGATACCCAGTCCTGCCACCCTGCATCATTCAGCTCTTCGATTTGGTAGGCCCCAAACTCGCCACACCGCACGATCCTATAGGATCCCAGCCACCGTTTATCGAGTTTCGTAGACCATTGTTTTTCCAACATAGAGTCATACAGCAGCACCGCATCCCCAACTTTCAGTGGATCCTTCCTTATTCGGGCCATCTGGTCCCATCTCATCTTGTCTTCCATACGGCTTCTCTCTACCTGACCAGCGGCCTCTCGTAACCTTTCTTCAACGGCCCCCACCTGCCGTGCCGGTATATCGAGCAGCTCTTCGAAAAACAGGTTCACTTCCAGGTCCTGGCGCCTCCACGTCTTCATAAAGCTTTTTATGGGAAAGGTGGCATGCCTCCCGTACCATAGAGTGACCGGTGCATACTTGGTAGTCCTTTTCACTGTAACATTTTCCACGAGGAAAGCTGCTCTCAGGAACTTCGGCCACTGGTTAGGCTTCCCCTCAGTCCATTTGGCCAGGAGATTCGTGATGGTACTATGCCCCCTCTCCATAGGTGCGTTTGCGTGGGGGTGCGCGGCAGTAGTATAGTTTGCGACCACGCCGTACCCCGCAAGCAAGGTCCGCACCTTGTTACAAGTGAACTTCGACCCCCGGTCCATCACAAACTCTATGACACATGGATAGCGCAAGTAGTAATCTTCGATGCACCTTGCTAAAACTGGTACAGTTTTCGTACGAATAACCCGACCGTCCACGAACCCGGTAAGGTTGTCCCGTGCGTCGAAGATATAGTTACTTCCGTCCTCCCCGAGTGGCATGAACAACAGGTCCAAGTGTACGACTGCACCCACTTCCCTTTCCAGCCTGGGGTGCAGAGGCTCCCCAGGCCTTTGCGCTGACCTCTGTTGGCAAGGTACACAGGACTGGCTTTACTTGATGACCATAGTCAGCATTCCATCCCAATGGTAGAGCTCACTTATCTTTGCGCACGTGGCAGTAACCCCTCTGTGCCCCCCCTGCTATACCATCGTGTAAAGCTGCTATGACATCAATCTGTCGGTTCCTCCCACATACGATCCTCTTGGGGTTCCCAACTTGTCGCTTTATAAACAGATGGTCATCTCTTACTACGTAGAGATGCCTCATCTTCTGGGCTTTAGCACTTGCGTCCCTATCCCTTATTTCGCACGACAGGAGTAACCCCAACTTCCGATAGATCCCGTCATACTCCTCAGCACGGAAGGCCTCCCTAATCTCTCCCTCTTCGAACTCGTCGTCCTGGCTTTCAGGGATAAGAAGTTCGCACTCCTCGGAACCGGYTGCGCTCCTCTGGTTAAAGTTCCCCTGCAGGAGCGTATTGGTGAGCAAGTACATTCCTCCCATTAACTGCTCATGTTCCTCTACCTGGGTTGACTCTTCTTCTATCCTCCTCTTCTCTTCCGCCAGACTATGTGTGTCTGCCAATGCCAACTTCATCATCCAGCCAACATCCCTACTCCCCCACGGATCTTCCTCCTGGAAAGGCTTGAGGACTAGCTCTTCCTTCCGCTCGTACCCCCTTGGTGCTAACCATATGGGATGCGTGACACAGCTAGGCACCCTCAGCGACCATTCATTTATGTGGAGGCGGACATCCTCCTTCTGGTCCAAGAACCCGTCGACTGGTGGGGTATCCTCAATTGATTCTTGATTCGCCCCGTCCAAATTGATACGGCTCAACCCATCCGCCCTGTTTTTGTCGCTTGAAATCCTCTCCAATTCAAAGTTAAACATCCAAATGTAGGTCAATCACCTCGCGATGGTTAGGTCAGATGGAGTATAACTTTTCAGGGAACATGCAAGGGCGGTTGGGTCCACCCTCAAGATGAGCCTTCTGCCAAAGATATAGTTCCGGAAGGTCCTCAGGCAGTGGAGTACCGCCAGCGTCTCCTTTTTAAACTGGGAGTTATTCCTCTCAGTCGTATTGAGGGTACGACTCTCAAACCTTAACGGCCTCTCCTTCCCATCCGCGTCTGCCTGAATCAGGACCCCTTCTAAGGCAGTTGGCCCGACGTCCGTCTCGACAACGAATGGTTTTTCCTCTGTGGCCTCATAATTCGGCGCTCCCAACACCAAGCCTCCTTCCTTGAATTCTCTCTCCATCCTTTCCACCGCCTTTTCCTGGTCCTCGCCCCAGACCCATTCCTGATCCTGACGTACTAGCTTCCTCAAATGCTCCGTCTTGGTGGCGAAGTCCTTCACAAAACTCCTCCAAAATCCACAGGTCCCAAGGAAACTCCTCACGTCCGTTATTGACTGGAAGGGGACTGGCCACTCTAGGATCTTGTCCATTTTCTTCACATCTGGCCTCCGCCTCTTTTCGTTGTAGACAAAGCCCAGAATCGTGGCCTCCCTCATACAATGCTTCGACTTGGGGCCGCTCGCCGTCAGGTTGTGTTCTTCCAGCAGATCCACAACTTGGTCGATATCCTGGATGTACTTCCTGACGAACCGCCTCACTCCTGGCATCACTTCATCTTCCTCCTTCTCCTTTGGATCCTTGACCGCCATATCATCAACGTAGGGCTGGGTAATATGTGGACTAACCGTCTGCATAGCCCTAATCATGTGACTTTGCACCATCGCCACCGCATTAGTCCAGCCCTGAGGGGCCACGTTCATGTGGATCAGCCCCCTTGGCTTATGCATCGCCGTCACCGGCCTATCTGGCGGGTACAGAGAAAAAATGTCATACCGAGAGTAAAGGTCTATAAGTGAAATTATAGGCCTCCCTGCGCATGACACTGACAGGGCGTCCACGTTCGGCAATCCTCCCTCGTCCCGCACCGTCACTGCATTCAATCGTTGCAAATCCTGTACCCACCATAGCGTTCCGTTCGGCTTGATAAAACAAAACCAAGGGGAGGCATACGGTCCACTAGAATAGTCTGCCACGTACGTTCGCATCTTCCCGTCCAAGTAGTCCACCACCTTCTTCCCTTCATCTGGATTCGGGTATCGCGCGCCCCTCAGGTTCCATGGCTCGTGTGGGACGGTATGGATTCGTATCATTGGAATCTTATCCACGTCCAATCTCTCACGCTCATCATCACTAAACGCATACGCACGATGCCTTTGCTTCATGATTTCTACCATCAAGGTCATCTCTTGGGCGAAAGGAAGCCAGACTCGCCAACTATTAGTCCCTCCTCATTCTCGTCATTGATGCGGCACGGCCCTGCTTGCGCGTGCTCCCGCATACGTCTTATCAGCCCTCGCTCTCGCTCATAATAGGCTTCCTCATCCTCCGTGACAAGCACGGGGACCGGGCGACACTTCTTATCTATAGTCTTGTACCGCCTTTGGGAACCCTGCTTAAGCCCTCCCCTAAAAAAGGCCGACTTGTCGTTCGGGCCTGGGCCATTGCAGGGTCCCCTGTCCTCCCAGGAAGCCGATAGATCAGCTCCACTTCTCCCACTTGAGGGTTTTCCAGGACCTACTCCCTCAAAGCCTTTATAGCCTCAGGGTCCGCCATATCATGCGCCACCACCACCTCCATTGCCTTATTCACATCGATAAGGCTTAGGGACAACACCTCGCCCGCTCCTTCCTCCTCTTGTTCCTCCCGGAGCCTTCGTCGCGCGTACTCAGACTCTTCGAAGGTGAAGGAGCCGAGACCAAGGTCTCCGTTCGGCAGAGGAACGACCTCCCCAGAAGGATAGGGTGGTCGACATCGGGCATGACGAAGAAGCACGTTCGCGCCCTCACCCTCCCGATCTCCACCATCACATTAGACGCGGTGCCGCAAAAAATTGCCTTACAATTGGCCCCGTGCAGCACACCATGGTCCGAATGATCCGCCTCTAGCTCTAACATGGTCGCGTCCCGCTCCCGGATGATGTTCATCTCAGCGCCTGTATCCACCATTGTGATGCTCAGCTGGTCTAATGGCTCAGTCCTTGCAGGTGGCCGAACTGAAGAGCCGGGTCAACAACAAATAGCATGTGCTGGAAATCAGCAGCCCGTCAGAAGCCATCCCCATCTGGTGGAGGCCAGGCACAACCATCTGGCAATTCAAAGTGCACTCTTTATCCCACTGCATATATGCGTACATTAAGTGGGCGCCCTCCACCTTCTCCCCCACAACAAAAAGAGAGCCCTTGGGTCCACATGTACAGTGCACATGCCCGAGATTGAAAGAAAAGAAAAGTGGGTCAGGGTACAGTCGCTCGGGCTGTGTAACCCTGTGGTGATTGAGCGTGCGGTTGGCACTCAAGTTTTTTATCACGGCTCAATCCCTCGCTTAAAGGCGTTTAAGTGGGGTTTCAGCAGGCGCAGGAATATTTCTTTTCTCAGGTAAAAATTAAGCAAAAAATAAATTAAAAAATACAGGGTTGTAGATCTTTTTGAGGTCTACAACGCCGAATGTTTTATTTTTTTATTTTTTTTTTATATTAAAAAAAAATGTGTTTTTTTTTTTTTTTCCCACAGAGATTTTTTCGAGGGCAAAAAAACTAGGCTACCAGCCACGCCGCCCGGGTCACCTTGTATTCCTGGGCGGCCTGGCCGTGTAAGGACCAAAGGTCCCAAAAACCACACGATCGAGTATGTCGGCCGGTCTGAGGAGAGAGTCATTCTTCTCCGCCGATTTCGGTTAGGCGCTAACTCATCGCTTCAACCTACGGGTCTCACGTCGTCACGCACGTTGACCAACCTGTCAGTCTTTCGGTCAGTACTTGCGTCTTCCGTGTCAGTCTTCGGTGTAAGGTCAGTCGTCCCAACGCCATGAATGTTTCGGCCTGTCCCCTTGCTCGCCGCCATGCCCTCACCCCACTTTTTGTCACTCCTACCAGCACCAACCGGTCTATGTCAACTCAAGAATGTTCCTCTTGTGAAGTCAATCCTCCTACCTTTCAACCTCACCACGATAATAACCCTCCTACCTACGACCTCTTCCTCCAATCCTTCTTCCCCCTTAATCTCGCCCTAAAATTTGACTTAGTTATCCCGGACGACGGACTGATAGAGGAAGTTACTTCCATGTTAACCCCATTAACCAAACCTTCTCAACCTTCACCAATTCTAGCAAACGACTGTCTTTAGCGAATCTTCGTCCTTGAACCACCTTCAGCCACCCTTCTTCCCCTCCATCTTTTCAACTTCTCTTACTCATTCCAGATTCATTCGCCAAGCAACAAGAGAGGTATGGGTCTTCATTAGCTATCTTAGACTTTTTAGAGTTCGTTGCGGATGCTGCTTTTTTCACCTTTCAGAACCGTGACGACGGTAGCTCTTTCTATTTTCTGAAAAGAAAGAAGGCATTAGAACTCCTCTCTCATTCTTTCTTTTCCAATCTTATTCTCTCTCTCATCTCTGTGGGCTAAAGGAATCTCAACTTCCTCTCATCACTCGAGCAGGATCAGGCTAAAAGGAGCTTGGCAGTCTTCAAAGAGGAGCACTCCCACGACCTCAGGATTCCGTTCTACGCCTTTCTCCTCTGCTTTGCTTCGACGACGAACATGTCTTCAAGACCCTGGACCAGATTCGATCCCATCTACCTCGCAGATAATCTCCCAGCTATTGGCGCAGATCCTGTCTTAATCACTCCTCTTCCAATCTTCTTCGAAGGGTTCTTCGCTGACCTCGTGAAAACGGACTTCAGCCATCTCTATCTCCACGCTCTCATCTCAACTGGACCTGGACCGTGGTTCAGACTTATAAGGAACGCGGTCTGCGGGACTCTTCCGAACTTCAATCCTATTCCGTTGAGCCCGCGGCAATCCTCGCAATCATCCTCATCCCAGCTTCCCAAGCTTATTCTCAGGACTTATCATGGGATCCATACCTTTTCCTTCTCCAACGAGCAGCAAGACTAATCAAGATGGCTCCTAGGAAGACATTCAATGCTTCTTCTTCAAGAAGTAGAAGATCGGGCAGATCTTTAGACTACGGATCCGCTCCTAATTTTCCTCCCCCAGAACCTCAGGCCGCACTTCAACCTATGTTGCTAATTCCCCACCCCACCCTCAGAACTAACCAGCTCCCATCTCTTCCTCCTTTTGACCCCAACCTCCCTATATCCTAAGAACCCCTAGATCTAGAAGAAAACCCAAAATGTTTCACAACTTGGACATTTTCTTCTGCTTTCCCGTCCTCCTCCTCCTCTTCCACCTTGTCACGTTCATCCTCCTCTTCTCTAAACCTATTACTTATCTCCCTTATCTACCCGCTTTTAAGAGATTGTAATCGGTTCTCAGTTGTAAGACTTGAATCTCTGCTTTTCAGTAAATAATGTTTAACTTTTTGTCATTAAGCTTTTTTTTTGCACTGCAGCATTTTTGCTCCTTATGTTTCAAAAAAAAAAAAAAAAAATTTTTGCTCCTTATGTTTCAAAAAAAAAAAAAAAAAAGGAAACGAGAGTGTTCACTCCAACAGAACTATAGAAAGCAAGGGTGATCTTTAAAGCAAGCCATGAATAAGTATTTATCAAAAAAAAAAAAAAAAAACTCCCATCTCTTCCCCCTCTTGACTCCCAACCTCCCTCTATCATAAAACCCCCTAGATCTAGAAGAAAACCCAGAATCTTTCGCAACTTGGACATTTTCTTCTGCTTTCTCTTCCGCCTTCTCCTCCTCTTCCACCTTGTCACGTTCATCCTCCTCTTCTYTAAACCTATTACTCATCTCCCTTATCTACCCCCTTTCAAGAGATCGTAATCGGTTCTAAGTTGCAAGGCTTGAATCTCTGCTTTTCAGTAAACAAAATTTAACTTTCTGTCATTAAGCCTTTTGTTTGCATTGCAGCATCTTTGCTCCTTATGTTTTCAATATTAAGGGGCTCGTTCGACACTCCTTGGGGCGTCCTCGGGGCCCAAGGAAGTTTCCTTGGGGGTTTTCAAGGAAATTTTCGCCATCGTTCCACCTGTTCTCAGGGACGTCGCCCGAGGACATTTCCTTCGAACGATGTCAGACAAGAAAAAAGAAAAGAAAAAAAAATTGAATGTGTTTGAGGCCTTCAACCAATAGGGTGCCGCCACGATCCAGATTCTCGGTTGTAACGTCTCTCTACCCATGTGTCCGCGCCTCTCCGTGAAACGCGGATTTGTTTTGCCCAAGGGACCTCGTGAGGTCCCTTGGGCAAAAGGAAGAAATGGTTGGGGAATCCTCGGAGCCCAAGGAATTTCCTTCGGAGTGTTTTCACTTTTTTTTCTCGACTCCATCCCCGAGGATAGGTGGAACGAACAATTCCTCGGGGACTTTAGGCGCCCGAGGAATATCGAACGAGCCCCCCCCAAAAAAAAGGAAATGAGAGTGTTCATTCCAACAGAAACGATAGAAAGCAAGGGTGATCTTTAAAGCAAGCCATTATAAGTATTTATCAAAAAAAAAAAAAGGAGGAGATTAAAGATTTGCAGAAGTAAAGGAAAAAGAACTCGCACAAAATAGCCACATCTTCGAATCTTGTTGCTTTGTAAAAAAAAAAAAAAAAAAAAAAAAAAAAAAAAAAAAAGGAGGAAACTCATATTCACTTCTTTTTTGTTGGTGACCAGATTTTGCAAATCATCTCACTCAATAGATCGACTTTTCAATGGTTTAAACGTTCGTTAGATCGATCTATCGTAATCCAACAGTTCAACCCATTGTTGAGTGATCGTTTGCCCACTCTCGTATTTATCAAACTTTGCATGCTTATGACCCGTTATTTATGCTAGTTACCTATCTGCCTTATAATTGCTCTATTTCTTTGTTACTACATCTCACCTTGATTACAACTTGCAATCATTCAGTATTCATCATCTAATGCATCTACTCTTCAATAGATTAGTCGTTCGGTCGATAGATTGTTTGTTTGACCAATCACTCTCAATCCGATGATTAACCCATTGTTTGACTGATCAAACATCCACCTATTATATCAATCAAACTTAGCATGCAAATGAGCCTTTACTTTTACTACCTGCCCATCTCAGGTTACTACACCCTACCTTTTCACCTCTCCCTTTCTCCCTCTCCCTCTTCCCCTCCTTCTTTTCGTTCATCCGGTACAAGTCGGCCCTGTTAACCTTACCATTAAACCATAGGTTAATGAGTCCCTCGTCAAAACACCTACGACGTTGACTGGCGCAACAATCGATATGCAACCTCCGCCATCTTCATGAGTACAACCCTCCACTTCTCATGATCACACCTTATATGCGCATTCTCTGAGCAAACCAGCATCCCAGCCACGACTCTCCACTCATTTCAATCTTTCA